CACAATGCACAACTCTCACCCGTGGTTCCTGAGGTCTTACACAAACACGTCCCGCTTTCGCAACCGTGCAACACCAACTATTCGCCGACCTAGCGGGTCAACATCGAATCAGGTCCTGGACATGGTGAAAAACCGGGTTGCAAGAGAGCCCATAATCCAACCGATAAGCCGAATCGTCGATCGACATGAATCAGATCGGCGGACAGCGGCAGCCAGCTCGGGAAGAGTTTCATCGGCGGCACTGAGAAAGCGGAACCGAGATCGGAAGCCCACGCCGAACCGAATAGGAATCGGACGCCATCGAAGTCGAATCGAACCGAATCGGAGGAGTCGAAACGAACCCTGGGTTGTACGGTCGAATGGCCGTCTTCTGGTGCGCCTGCGGGCCCAACCGGGCCCGAATCGAAGTCGAATCGAACCGAATCGGAGGAGTCGAAACGAACCCTGGGCTGTACGGTCGAATGGCTGTCTTCTGGTGCGCCTGCGGGCCCAACCGTGCCCGAGGTCGCCCCGCGCGCGGGCGAAGAGCGGGGCGCACGCCCTCCAAGGACGCGTGGCCAATGGGTGCCAGGCCTCACGCTGGCCCCAAGATGCCGCCAAGATGGGCACGGATGTTCCAAGCTGGCCCTATGGACAACAGTGGGGGCCGAACAACCGTTCCCGAAATGGCCAGCTTATCGAGCACTGCACCCCTCGGAGGCCCCTGGGGAAAGGCCCGAGACATTGAACAACCAACAATGGTTGTGCCCGTGTTCTTGGTCTGCTCGCCCTGACGCGTTCCAATTGATCTTTCGGGCTTCGCGAGGTGACGCCAAGAGGCCTCAAGAGATACCATTAGGGCCCCCAGAGGGCACCAAGAAAGCCCCAACAAGCCCCCCAAACAACTCCAGAGCGCGGTCCACAGGGTGTCGAGCCATAATCTGGCCCCAAGGTTTGCCCAGCAAGCCCTAACCAATGTTGCTTTAGCTGGCCCAAGCTCGCGCAAGACACTCGAGTCGACCGCACATCTGGCTTAACATCGGAGGAGAACCTTTCCTCGGAGGCTCGGACGAAGCCAAAACGACTTAACACAAGCGCCAGTGGTTTGATTATCATGGTGCTATCGCTCTTGCGGGCTCTAGGAACCCAAAAGAGCGCTACACCCTGCGAAATGCTTAAGAAATCATGGGTTAAGAAATTCATAGTCTCAGAACTTGAATAAAAACCCAACGTTTCTATCAAAATCTTGGGATTTACATTGTCACATTAAGAATAATCGAGATTCTGGCCGAAAACTGAAGTTTTCTTAAGCATCGCCCAAGGTGTAGAATAGCCCCACGATCCCAGAGGCCCAAAGAAGGCTCCGAGAGGACACCAGGAGGGCCCACGAGCGGGGAGCACTGGGCGGCATGCTCCAGGATGACCACAACATAGCGCCTCAAGCTGGCCTCACGAGGCCCTCCTCCTCCTCCTCCTCCTCATCCTCCTCCTCCTCCTCCTCCTCCTCCTCCTCGGTGGCCAACACATGGCCCAACATTGTCCGAGGCAGCCCCCGAGAGGTCCCACGAAACGCCTTAGACGCCCGCAGCAACCCACCTGCAGCCTCTCAGAGACCCCCGATCGTCCCCCAAGATGCTCCGACAGCCCACGGAGGGGTCGAAAGAATTACCTGCTCGTGCTTTCCTGCTTCGATGCCGAAGTTTGGGTGGGAACGTGTCCCGTTGAGTGTTGCACTCAATCTACCGAGCGACTGCTTCTCCCCTGCCCGAGCTTCACATGACAGCTAGGGAGAATTCCACCACCCATTATTTTCCCGCTGCCAGCGGGTGCACGAAGAAATGGCAAAGATGATACACCATGGGCCAACGGAGCGCGCGAAGCGGTTGAACTCGGCGGGCTTCCGGGAGGGTAGCACGAGCAGGGCGGCCAGAACCCTGTTAGACGTTATCGGTCTGCATAACTTCAGGATGAAGATGGAGGTCGCCTGCGAAGTGAATGTTAAGAATGGCTCCGCGCATCGCATTCCGCCTGGCGATCCTCCTGGGGCAATCCATTGACGAGTAGTCTGCGCTCTCAGGCCTCTGCGCCCCGAAAGAATACCAATGATTTGTGCTCCGAGGCCCGCGGGACGTGTACAACAGATTTGCGCCCATAAGCCCGCGAGGAACTTTTTCCGCAGGGTGTAATGCAGAGAGCATCTGGCAACAACGCCTATGACGATAGGGTGCATCTGCGCACGCGAATTCACATGTCGACAAACGCCAGGGGCGACGCATCAGCCGCACGCGCGCAGGTTGGCCCCGCGCACGCGCACGCGTTCGCTGGTGGTGCCGACCTGCACTGCGTAACGCTCCGCCGCCTCGTCGATCAACAGGGAGATGGTGCGGAAACGAAGGCGCCCAACTGGCCTCTCAAGACGGTTCGATGGAACCTCAATTCGGCGCACCCCTCACGCTCTTCGCGTCCCCCGGGACTCCTAATGATCTCTCCAGCGGGCACTAGAACCCCCAAACAACGAACACGCCAAATCTGGTATTTCTTTTTTTCCCAACCATCCTGTGGTGTTGGGTCCTCGTTTTGAAGAGACGGCGCCCCGCGTTCCTCACCTCCTCCTCCTCCCCCACCCCTCCCTCCTCCCATCATCATCATCATCATCATCATCATCATCATCATCATCATCATCATCATCATCATCATCATCATCATCATCATCATCATCATCATCATCATCATTTCGGCACACCCCTCACACGTTTCGTGGCCCCATAGGGAGCTCCACCGAAGGCCCCAGTGGCAGGGTTCGCATGCCTCCCCACCACCCATTTCGGCACACCCCTCACACGTAACGTGGCCCCATAGGGGGCTCCACCGAAGGCCCCAGTGGCAGGGTTCGCATGCCTCCCCACCACCCATTTCGGCACACCCCTCACACGTTTCGTGGCCCCATAGGGAGCTCCACCGAAGGCCCCAGTGGCAGGTTCGCATGCCTCCCCACCACCCATTTCGGCACACCCCTCACACGTTTCGTGGCCCCATAGGGAGCTCCACCGAAGGCCCCAGTGGAAGGGTTCGCATGCCTCCCCACCACCCATTTCGGCACACCCCTCACACGTTTCGTGGCCCCATAGGGAGCTCCACCGAAGGGTTCGCATGCCTCCCCACCACCCATTTCGGCACACCCCTCACACGTTTCGTGGCACCATAGGGAGCTCCACCGAAGGCCCCAGTGGCCTGGTTCGTATGCCTCCCCAACACCAATTTCGGCACATCCCTCACACGTTTCGTGGCCCCATGGGGATTTCCACTGAAGGCCCCAGTGGCTGCGTTCGCATGCGCCCCCACACCCATTTCGGCACACCCCTCACACGTTTCGTGGCCCCATAGGGAGCTCCACCGAAGGCCCCAGTGGCTGCGTTCGCATGCCGCCCCCACACCAATTTCGGCACACCCCTCACACGTTTCGTGGCCCCACAGGGAGCTCCACCGAAGGCCCCAGTGGCTGCGTTCGCATGCCGCCCCCACACCAACTTCGGTGCACCCCTCACACGTTTCGTGGCCCCATAAGGAGCTCCACCGAAGGCCCCAGTGGCAACGTTCGCATGCCGCCCCCACACCCATTTCGGCACACCCCTCAAACGGTTCGTGGCCCCATAGGGAGATCCACCGAAGACGGTACTCACACCAGCATTACTCACAACTGCATATGGTTGGGTCCTTCGCCAGGCTCATTTTCCAAGGCTTTTACGTCTGAGGCGGACCCACGGATGCGGGAAAGCTTCAGAAACCGAGACGGCTCCGCAGGGCCCCGAAAAATCCACAAGACGGTCCCAAACGATCCTCAAAAGGACCTTCGGATGGCCCCAACACGTGTCAAATCCCACAAACAGCTCTCGAAGACCGACCCAAGCTGGTCCCGATTTTCGTCCATACCGATCCAGGATAGTTTCATCGAGCCTCTCAGGGAGAACTCGGTAGAACCATCGCGCCTTAGACGGCCGCAATACCAATAACATACCTCCCAAAAGGTCTCCAGAAGACCCCGAGAGACCCCCAAGAGGGCGTCAAGATGCCCACAGCAGGCTCCGAAGAGGCCGCCAAGAAGCAACGCAACAACCATTGAACGCTATGGCCACGTCACGCTACACATTGTGGCGCTTGAGTCCTAGATGACCCCAATTCTCTGGTCTCAACGACGCGCGATGCCTTGACACGCCCAGTCTAGCTTGCACCTCGGAGTCAGCAGACACATCAAGAGCGATGGAAAGGTGCGGCCATAGCAGAAACTGGGTAGAACCATTGTGGGCCCGTAGTGAAGCCATCCTCGATACATTCCAATGCTGCGACCACACGGTGGCTGTGGTTGCCGCGTGTAAGTAGATATGCTTCGCTCGGACGTGAGCGCATTGGAAGCAATATTGAGGCTGGCGCTCAGGTCGAAGTTAAAGCTAGGAATGAACCAACGACGCGCTAGTCCAAGCGCAGGTATGGTAACTGGCATAGCCGTGGGCAAGCGCACACACAGGCACATAATCAAACACAGGCCTAAACGAAGGCATAGGCATTGATATAAGGTAAGTAAGCGCATAGCGTAGGCACACGCGTGGGCATAAGACAATTACAGGCAATTGCATTGGCATGCGCATATGCAAACTCTCAACCGTACAAAACACGCAGAGGTATAAGGCATAGGCAAAGGCGCATGCTTATATGTACAGGCGCAAGCACAAGCACAACCATAGGATTTTGTATGACGATGCGCATGGGCATCAACACACACGTAAACAAATAAGCATCACACACGCAAATAACGCTGGTAATGGTAGGCGGGCGGAATCACCCATTGGTTCATGAAATTTAAAGAGACATTTGGGCAGACCGGTCTGGATAACAAGAACGACCTGGCGTTCAACGCTAGGGTGGGACAACGCTGAATTTCCTGCAAAATCTGACGGGTATCCCCTCCAATATGATCAGACTGTCTTCGGCCTGAAATTCATATACCGACTTCGGGACCAGAAGTCCTGCGCCGAGGCCGCCGCCACCTATGCCGCCACCTTCTCGGTCTCTGAAGCCGCGGCCCTTGCTGCCACCATCGCTGCGATCCTCTTGGAGCTTGATATCTCCACTGTCGGCAAGAGTGGGCCGTGGCGGAACATTATACATACTCAGGTGCGGTTGCATAACAAGCCTTGCGCGGTGTCCTTGCGCAATTGAGCTTGCTGCTTGGTCTTTTGAGCGACCATTACCCCAAATAATGCCAACAAGGGCAACTGAATCCGTGTTACGATTTCCGCCACGGCCCAGTTCGGCAACTGCTCAGAGCTCAAGAGCAAATGGGACCGACAACGCGCTGGCGTCTGGAGAAGAGCCACCCAAGGACGCGTGACAAAATCCGCAGAGAGACACCTAAATCACGTGCACACAAGTACGTAGATGCACACACGCTTTCATTCTCGATCATGCTTAACATTTTCACTGTCGCTCCCCCTCCTGCTCCGCCTCATCTTCGCTGTGGCTTCTCCCCTAATGGACTCCCCCTCCTGCTTCCAGCCCTGAAGACTCCAAATGGTATCCAAATGATCCAGGCACACTGTCGCACGAATCTGAAACATGTCAGCGGGAATCGCAGTATTGTTTGAAGCGCCTAGGGGCTTATTGCACTTGGGGTTCGTTCAACATTCACCGACCCCTTGGGGCCTCCTCGGCGTGTGGGAATCGCTGCTCCTCCCCAAACCTCTTCCTCGGACTGGTCAAATGGTTTGAAGACAGGGATCCAATGCGCCCAGGGTGCCCGGGTGATCACCTGACTCCAAGGCGCTCCAAGACGCCCCAAGATGATCTATGGTAAGATGCCGTTCTCCCTGGCCTCCAGCACGCGTCCAAGAGGCCTCAGGGCAGCTCGACGGGGCCAGTAAGCTCATTAAGAACGCCCCATGCGGACCAGCTGGTCCTCATGTGCGATGTTCGGTGTCAAGAAGGGCGACGCTTCTCGGCTCCGCCCCATCGTTTGATCGATATTCCCCAATTTGTTCTTCCAATGACCCCCAAAGGGCACCCAAAGAGCCCCAAGATGGCTCCGTCAGCTTCCAACATTGCCCCTAAGAGGGCATCAATATGGCCCCATGAGGCCACTTGAAGGCTCCCAGAGCAACACCTACGCGAAGGCCTGTCGCTGACTCCTGCCTTTGTCGCCACCGTCGTCGTTTTTTCCTCCTCCGTATTTGTCTCCCCCCTGCTCATTCTTCGCTTCCTCCTCCTCCTTCTCCCTTGCCTCCTCCTCCTCCTCTTTTTTCTGATTATCTTTTCCTCCGGTTCCTTCTCCGCCTCCTCGTGCTCCTCGTCCTCCTCACCATCGTCGTCGTCGTCCTCCTCCTCATCTTCCTCACACCTCCTCCTCCTCCTCCTCCTCCTCCTCCTCCTCTTCCTGCTCCTCTTTCCCTTCCTCCTCATCGTCCTCCTTCTTCTCCTCCCCTTCCCACCTAAGACTGAACTGACCTTTAACAGGAACATTTTCACTCACATTCCTCTTCCTTCTCCTCCTCCTCCTCCTCCACCCCTTCCTCTTCTTCTGATTCTTCTTCTTCTTCTTCTTCCTCTTCCTCTTACTCCTCGTCCTCCTCCTCCTCCTTCTCCTCCCTCTTCCTCGTCCGCTTCCTCTTCGTTACTCTTCCTCCTCCTGAACCTCCTCCTTCGAACGATCCGCGACGACAAATGTGGCTCACTCCTGGAATGCATGCTGCTACACTTCCCTGATTCGAGCAACTCGCCTGATGATAGGTTCTGGATTGGCTGGTGGAGATACACGGAGCGTCAATGATATCAGATGAAGCGAACGGCTGAAACTACAGCCAACGGGGTGGGAGACAGGAAGGGGGGACGTTGGAGACGTAAGGAGGGGAGGGGACTGGGAGAGTAGATGGGGCAAATGCGGGAGGGAAGAGGGAGGGAGGGACAACTACCCGAGCGAAGGACCCAACAATGTGCGGGTGCGAGTGCCGCAGGGCAGGTGGGACGAAGGAGGGGCATCTTCCTATGGGGAAGCGAAGCGTGTGAGGGTTGTGCCGAAATGGATGCGGGGCCGCCATGCTGACCCTGCCGCTGGGGTCTTCGGTGGAGCTCCCTATGGGGCCGCGAAACGTGTGAGGGGTGTGCCGAAATGGGTGCGGGGCCGCAATGCTGACCCTTCGGTGGAGCTTCCGGTGGGGCCACGAAGCGTATGATGGGTGTGCCGAATCTAGCGCGGGGCCGCCATGCGGACCCTGCCGCTGGGGCCTTCGGTGGAGCTCCCTATTGGGCCACGAAGCGTGTAAAGGGTGTGCCGAATCTAGTACGGGGCTGCCATGCTGACCCTGCCGCTGAAACTTGCGTGGGACTCCTTATGAAGCCACGCAACATGTGAAGGGTGTGCCGAAATGGGTGCGGGGCCGCCATGCGGACCCTGCCGCTGGGGTCTTCGGTGGAGCTCCCCATGGGGCCACGAAGCGTGTGAGGGGTGTGCCGAATCTAGCGCGGGGCCACCATGCGGACCCTGCCGCTGAAACTTTCGTGGAACTCCTTATGAGGCCACAGACCGTGTGAGGGTTGTGCCGAAATCGGTACGGGACCGCCATGCGGACCCTGCCGCTGGGGCCTTCGGTGGAGCTCCCGGTGGGGCCACGCAACATGTGAAGGGTGTGCCGAAATGGGTGCGGGGCCGCCATGCGGACCCTGCCGCTGGGGCCTTCGGTGGAGCTTCCTAACTATGGGGCCACGGAACGTGTGAGGGGTGTGCCGAAATCGGTGCGTGCCATGCGGACCCTGCCGCTGGGGCCTTCGGTGGAGCTCCCTATGGGGCCACGAAGCGTGTGAGGGGTGTGCCGAAATGGGGCACGAGGATGGGAAGGAGGGGGGGAGGAGGAGGAGAGGAGGAGGACGCGGGGCACTGTCTCTTCAAAGCGAGGACCCAACACCACAGGATGTTGGGGAGCAAGCAACGGAGGCGATGGGAAAGGGCAGCGGGAGAACCGCCTGGCCGCGGTCCTTCCCCCTGCCGCCCTTGCCGCAGCCGCCGCCTCTGTCTCCTCCGCGCCCTCCCCCGCCTCTGCTGTCCTCGGGGGCGGCATGGCCAGCGTCGAGCCGTCCGCGATAGCGGGGGAGCCAGAAGATGAAGCTTCATGAAGGGGCCCTGGGACACACACACAAATAAATGCACACACATAAAATACTTCAAAATATTTTCCAATATGTTCTCTGATTTCGTCTTCCCCCCCACTTCCCACATTTTCCCATATTTTCTGGGGATCGCCGATTAATGGTGTCTGTGTGTTTTTTCTCTTCCTGACTTCAGCCCGACCAGCGAAGCGCAGGGAGTGGGGGAAAGGGGAGCGGGGGAGGTGCAGCTGGGAGAGGTAATTCGGTTGACTCGTCTCCTGCCCCTTTTCTCCGCCGAGCCGCTGGCCATCTCCCACGGCGAATCGAACTCGGAGCAACGACCCTACCCATTCGCCGAAAGGGAGTTGCTGCAGCGATGCACACCTTGGGAGGACGGGCGATGGATCCACCGCGAGCGCCGGTCCGCTGGATGACTGGCCTCGTGCCCTTGCCTCCAGCCCTGCCCTGTGGCCCAGCAGCCCGCGGGCCGACGGGGGGTATGGGGGAGGGGGCATTGGCTCCTTGAATGGAGCCTGCTTCTCAGAAGGCGCCGGCCTTACACTTACAGAGAGGGCCCGCGCCTGCTGAGAAGCCCTAAGAAGCGTGGCTGAATTTGAGCCCTACCCCTACCGGTCCAGATCCTGGTGCAGATTCAGTCTTTGACAAACGACACTTGCGACGTCAGCCAGTGAGTGGACCGCGCATCCTATGGACGCGCAGGCAATGCAATCAAAATGTTAGGGTGGTGCGCCAAACGCGTCCCAAGTAGGGGTGGTGCGCCGAACGCGCCCACATGTCACGAAACTTGCGACGGCGACAGGAACACCTATCCTGGCTTCCCTTTGGTTCTCGTTCGGGCAAACGTGCAGGCGGCCAACGGATCCCGGCGAGGTGCAACGGCGCGGCGCAGGGCTGGAGGTCTTGAACCGAAATGCCTTGAGCAAAGCTGCAAGCCCTCTTCGTTCGGCTTTTGATGTTTTTGTTTGCCAGCGGGGGCGAAAACCACCCATTCCGCGGAGCAGCGACCCGGGTGATCGCAGCACGAACTTGGGCGTCAAACCACCACTGCTGGAGAATTGGGGCAAGAAAAGAGCGGATGGGGGGTGCGTCTCCGAGCTACCACCCATGCAAGAAGCAGGATGGGGTGGCGAGAGGCAACCATCGGATCGAATCGGATTGTGCGTCGAAGCGGACCGCATCGGAATCGGATTTGCTGCACCAAGATGCACAACAACGCAATGTAAGCGTCGGGCCGCATCGGATCGGCGGGAAATCGAAATCGAATCGGATCGGGCTAGCCGGAATCTACATCGAATCGGATCGATCGAATCGGAATGGACCCTGAGTGGCGAGAGGCGACGGGGGGAAGAACGAGGAAGGGAGGCGAGAGGGGAAGAGTGGCGAGAACCAGTAGCGAGCCATGCAAGATGCAAGAGACGACAACGCCGACGCCGACGACGCCGACGACGCCGACGACGCCGCCAACGACGACGACGACGACGACGACGACGACGACGACGACGACGACGGGTGCGGCGGCGGCGGCGACGACGACGAGTAGCGGGCCAGGCTCACATCGGTGTGGAAGGGGGCACGGCGTGCACAGCACAGCGGTCCCCGACATGCGGCGGACCAGGGGCCCTTGGCGGCAGAGCCAATGCGCTAAAGGCAAGAAAGACTGAGCAGCGGCTTGGGATCGCCGCATCACTCGAGACCTCCTAGATGGGGTGTCGGAGGGTTGCACCGCATCGGCGATGTCTGGGCGACGTCGGCGCGTAGAAAGTCGGGCTCCACATCGCACAGCATCGCCGATGCATCGGCGATGCGGCGCAATCCTCCGACCCCATCTGGGAAGCCTAGGAGCACAGTAGACGGGGGTGGGGGGCAGTCCTGGGCGACCGCCAGCGGCCCAGGAGGCCCGTGAAGGCAAGACGGGCGGGGGGAGGCGCGCGAAGGCACGGCAGAGGGGGCGGGGGGGGCGAAACGTCGAAGGACGTCGCCCAGGCGCTGGTAAGCGAAGAGGCACGCCAGCAAGCAAGAATGGCAAAACGGCGAGGCCCCGCAGGCGGGGTGAGCACGGCGCAGCATCCAGAGGCCAGGGCTTTTTCAGCCAGATGCGCTGCGGGGCCCGCAAATCTCAAAAGAGGGTGGGTGGACTAGCGCGCGAAACAGGGCGGGACCGCGACAACTGGCGCCACATGCGCAGCGGGGAAACGTTTGCCGCGCCACGTAGATACACTGGGCAATGTGACGCCGTAAGCACCGCAAACGGACCACACAAGTAACTATCCGAAGCGGTCGCCGTGTCGGATGGCCTACCAGGCCACCAGACCCGGAAAGAACTTGCTGCAAACCTGTCCAACAAACGGCCCCATGCGCCTGTTTTCTCGACGGGATCGCCTGTAATGAAAGATCTGTCAGACCACTCTTCGGGTGGTAAAGAGATTGAGGGGGGACGAATGCATCTATCGGTTTACGCTACACATGTATATATATACACACCGAGCTCACTCAGTACATTTATGCTCAGCGAGCTTACCGGCGATGAAGCGCGTAGCGCCTGGAAAAGAAAAGACAGGGAGAGTGATGCTGCATGCTGAACTCAACTCTATCATTTTACAAGCCGACCTGGACCAGGCTCCGAGAAACAAAGTGGTAGCAACTCTTGCTCAAACAACAAGCTGTCGTGCCGGCACCACTGCGTCTCCCTTACAGAGATAAAAGAAAGGGCGGGAGGGCGGGGACCAAGAAGGCTGCAGAGAAGGACGCCCTATAGTCCCCTCGGACGATAAGCCTGAGACCGCCTAGCCGCCTCCAAACACAACAATCGAGACACATTTGTTCAGCGAGCTTATCGGCGGTGAAGCGTGTAGCGCCTGGAAAAGAAAAGACAGGGAGAGTGATGGTGCATGCTGAACTCAACTCTATCATTTTACAAGCCGACCTGGACCAGGCTCCGAGAAACAAAGTGGTAGCAACTCTTGCTCAAACAACAAGCTGTCGTGCCGGCACCACTGCATCTCCCTTACAGAGATAAGAAAAAGGGCGGGAGGGCGGGGACCAAGAAGGCTGCAGAGGAGGACGCCCTATAGTCCCCTCGGACGATAAGCCTGAGACCGCCTAGCCGCCTCCAAACACAACAGTCGAGACACATTTGTTCAGCGAGCTTATCGGCGGTGAAGCGCGTAGCGCCTGGAAAAGAAGAGACAAGGAGAGTGATGCTGCATGCTGAACTCAACTCTATCATTTAACAAGCCGACCTGGACCAGGCTCCGAGAAACAAAGGTGTAGCAACTCTTGCTCGAACAACAAGTTGTCGTGCCGGCGCCACTACATCTCCCATATCCCATATCCCATATCAGCAATGCTTCAGGGAGGGTGGGCTGGGCACTCATGATTCTGTGGCGCAAGCGTTCTGCAGCGCACGAGGGAAACAAGTGAGCAGCCAGTGTGTGCTCGAATCAGCGTCTAAGCCTGGGATCGACTTCAGTCGATCGAGCTGCTTGAGGAGTCTGCCTTTCTTTTCGAACCGTATGGAGCTCGCCAGGCTCTTCCATCTTCCTCGCTTATGGATCTGGGCGATCGGGAGGTCGTCCAGGCCATCGGTGGGCGCGCCCCCGTGGCGGAGGCAGTGGGGAGTGAGCTGCAGGCAGGCCATGCCCAGCTCCTGGGCCCCCTGGCGGGAGATCCTTTCGTAGTCCGCGAGCGTGAGGCCGTCGAACACGAGCTCGCCTGGCTCCGTCGCACGGTGCAGCACGGCCAAGAGCTCGGTGATGAGGCTTCGCCGCGCCTCCGAGGTCTCGCCCAGGATGATGGTGTCGTCGAAGTCACCGCTCTTGGTGGGCCGTCTCCCCTCCTTCGGGCAGATCATGGCGGCCCAGCACCGGCGCCCGCCGCGGCTGCCCTGGGAGGGGGGCGAGCTGATCTTGGCCCAGCCCGAGGCCCTCGGACGCCCGCAGCCGCCGCTGAGTTCACCATGACCAGACTGCGGTGCTTGTCCATCCAGTGGGCCAGCTCCACCGCGGCTTCCCAGGGGCACCCATCCGGCGACCTGATCTGCGAGGCCTTGCGGAAGCCACGCAGGGCGCGACGGGTCCGCGGGAAGTGCGGCGTCTTCGCGCACACCTCGTCGATGTGGTACATCAGCGCGTGGATGGTGTTGTTGGCTCCGGCGGCGGTCTCGCCCGCGAAGTAGAGCTTATCGAGCTACAGCTCGAGGGCCTTGTCTCGCGCCTCGGGGTTGTCGCACGCCAGCTGCTGCGCCTTCCACCAGGCCGTGAGCTCGCCGTACTCCCGCTGATAGACGCGCAGCGTCGCCTGGCCCACGGAGCGCTGCTCCAGGTGCCCACTCTCGCCCAGCGCGATCGCCACTGACTTGGCGACTGCCCGCCAGGTGGAGGCTCGGCGCTGCCGGGCGCTGGGCGGCGGCTGCGTCTCGATGCCGTCCTGCATCAGCAGCCCCAGCGGCGGCCGCCCGCCGCCCTCGAGTGCCGCATGACCCGCCAGCCGTCCAGCCCAGCGCGTGGAGAGCGAGACGCCGCTGCTCCGCGCTATCGCCGCAGAGCTGGTGGCCGACAGCGTGCTCCCCCCATCCAGTGGCAAACCTCCGTGGGCACGTGGGGGCCGCGAGCGGCTTCGGCTGCGCGATCCCTGCTGCCGTGGGCAGCTCGCGCTCCAAGCGGGGATCGAGCAACGGCTCGGCGTCCCGCCGGAGCGCGCTCTGACCAAGGGCCTCCTTGAGCCCTAGTGCGACAGTGCGTCAGAGCCCTGGTGGATACGCGGCCGCCAGGGAGGTCTTCCACTTCCAGACGAGCTTGCCGGCCCCGTCCGGGACCTTCACTTCCCCTTCGAGGCGCTCGTGGGGCACCGCGCACATACTCCTCCCTTCTATCACCTTCAGGGCGGGGGCGTTAGTGATGAAAGCCGTGGGCTTCTTGAAGGGGGCTCCGTAGTGGCAGCTGTGGTACTCGAAACGGTCGCATCTTAGTTTCTTGGTAATGCTGACGAGGGGCGGGTGCTTCAGGAGCCTCGGGGACGCTGAATTTTCAATGGATACGGAGCCCCAGCGCGATGGCGCACCCTGAGGACCTTCACCGTGAAGTCGGCGCAGCCAAGGCCAGCCCGAGAGCCCGCGGAGTCCTTGGACCCCGTGTTGTTCGCGACGCCCCATCGGGTGCAGGGAGGGGCGAGATGAACGTGGGAGACGCGACCATGAGTGATCCACTGCAAGATGGTTTGCTGGACACCAGCACTGAGAACGTCGACCCGCGGCCCGGCCGAGGCATCCACGGGGCAGAGGATGCGCAGGCCGGCCAGAGAGCCTGGCGCAGCCGCTGAAAACCTCGAGAATGCCGGCGCGAGCGGGCGGCCGGCGGGCTGGGCGGGCTCGGTCCGACCAGGGGCCGCGCCCGCGGCCTCGCTGCGGTCCGCCGCGGCGCCTGCCGCCGGCCCCCGCAGCCGCCCTAGCCGAGCCGCCGGCTGGCCCCCGCGCAGCGCCTCACCAGGCACCAGCAGCCCGCGCTCTGCGAGCCTCGAGTCCGAGTCAGTGGGGTTGCGCGCCTTCTCGATGTAGCGGCGAAGCTGCTGCACCTCGGCCCCGAGCTCGATCGCGGCGGCGCGCCTGCAGATGACGTGCGTTCAGAGCAGGGTTGCGCGCCCGACCACGCTCTGTGGCCAAGACTTGGGAGAGGCTGTCGCCGAGTGACAGGACTACGCCGCCGTGACTCGCTGGGTCGCGTGGCGCGCGGTAGAGCCCCATCAGCGCGATCCTCGCCTCCTTCACGTGGGTCGCCTCGTGCCTCTCCCAGGCGCCGACCAGCAGGCGCCTCCAGCGCCCGGCTACGGCCGTGCTGTCGGGCAGCGAAGGCGCGATGCCGGTCGCCCGGGGATGTTGGACCCCGGCCTCGACCGCCTTCATGGCCTCGACTGGCGCCAGGTTGCTTGCCCGGGGCGCGCGCCGAGCAGGGCGGTCTCGGGCCGCAGCTCCAGGCCAGCCGCAATCCTCCACGTCCAGGTCCCTACCCACCCAGCTCAAGGAAGTCGGCGTCCAGCCCGGTCTGAGCCCCCGAGAGGCCATGGGCCCCTCATCCTCCTCGGCGTCGGCGAACCCCTAGCGCTCCCGCCACTGGCAGACGTCGTGCAGCTCACCTTCATTCGCTGAAGACACCCGCGTGGATGGCGTAGCCCTTCGTGGAAGCCTCCGAGCAGAAAGCCGTGGGGTAGTGCTGCCGTCGGAGTCGGCTCCTGACGAGGACCAGCAGGCGTCGGTAGGTAACCGATTCCCCACGAACATGGCTGTCAGGCCGACGGAAGCGGCCCAGGTTATCGGCGCTGAATCCGTGCAGGCACGAAAGTGCGCTTGCATGAAGAAGTTCGCGAGGTGGCCCAGCACGATGCGCATCGCCCCCCCGTGCAGCCCGCCCGGAGCTCCAGTTGCCGCGGCGCATGCCGCAGCCGCCAGAACCTCGACCGCCGCTGCCTCCAGGGGAACTTCGCGCCCTGCAGCTCGAACCCCGCCTTGTCCTGGTTCGGGTCGCACTCCGCGTTGCCCCGCAGCGTGAAGCCGCGCTCGGTCAGCGCGGCCGCCAACGCATCGTAGAAGATCTTGGCGTCCTCCCAGTCGATTCAGAGCAGGTTGCCGTTGTCGACGTACGGCGCTGCGACAGGCCGGCCCATGGCCAACCGTGGGGCGGGCCGCCCGTCTCGCAGAAGCTGGGCCTCCGCCAAGCTCCGCTCGCAGCGCGTCGTCCGCACCAAGGGCTCCACCGTGGCGTCTGTGAGAGCCGAATGGCAGGTTGACAAAGCCCATGTCCAACCCATGGGCGCGCCGCAGAAACAGGGCCAGACTGCGTCGTCGGCCGCGACGGGCAGCCAAATGCCGACGCCGTCCACCACGTCGTGCATCTCCGTGATCCCGGCCTCCTCGGCGGCCATCTGGCAGTCAGTCGATGCCGAACCAGTCGCTCATCACCTTGAAGCGTAGCTAGTAGAACCCGCCCTGGAGGTCCACGGCCGCGCCGCGCAGCTCCATGGCCGCCGCAGCTCCGGGCCCCGGCGCCGCGTCGCTCAGGTCGAGCGCCAAGGCCGCACCTGGCACCTGGCGTCGCCAGGCAGGAGTGCGGCGGCCGCCGGTGCCAGCGGTTCGGCACGCGGGCATCCACGATGAGTCGTTGCCACCAGCGGTCCTTCTTACTGACCGTGAAGAGGCCGACGAGCGCCTTCAACGACGGCCTGATCGCCACGAGGCCGCCGCGGTGCAGGGTCAGCACGAGCTCCTTCAGCAGCTCGCGGCTCTGGCGGAGCCGGGGTCGGAGTATGGCCGTGGAGGTCGACCATCTGCCTCAACCTCATCAACTCGTCGTTCAATGTACCACCAGGGGTCAGCTAGGGGCCGGTAGGCGCCAGCCTCCGTGACGCCCAGCACCTCCTTCGGCACAGTGTCGTTCTTCAGGATCTTGAGTCGCTCCAGCTGGATCGGGGCCCGGCTGGTGGTGTCGCTCGTCAGGCACATGTCGGTGCACTGCAGGAGGTCCGGAAGCGCGGAGGAGTAGTCAGCGTCGGGAGGGATGGGAAACTGGTCGCCCACCCGCTCCACGACTCGGTCAAGTATCGACTGCGGAGCCGATGTGACCGCTTGCTTGGAGGGCCTCGGTCGCCGCAGCTGCAGCGGCCGACCAGCGCGTGAGGAAGCCGAACCATTCAGAGCCGCAGCCGCGTCAGCGGCGAGGGCGGCAGCCGAGGGCTCAGCACAAGCACGACTTGGGGGGCGACATGGAGCCGCCCGATCACCTTCAGCGCCGCCGTCGTCCAGAAGAGGTAGTGGCACAGGGAACGTGTCGCGCGGCGACGTCAATAATTTGCGGTGAGCCGAGGTCGCGCTCGTCCTCGGTGGTGGGGGTGCAGCGCTGTAGCCCGAGCCCCGCGATGACAACTCAAGCGTCGCTGCGCCCGCAAGCCTCCTCAATCCTTGCCCGGCTTGCCGTCGCCCTTGTTGCGACCGGCCTGCCTCTTCCTCTCGTTCTCCTGCTCCTCGAGGTCCTCCCTGAGGCTCTTGAGCACCGTTGCGCTCGTCTTCTGCTGCTCGGCCATGTGCTCGTCGAGCTCCGTCGTCTTGAGACCGTCTGACTCGTCGAAGTCCGACTGCGCGAACCGCTCCAGGCCTGTGAAATCGGGCGCTGTCGGGTTCCTTCTGACGGCCCGCTGGCGCACGATGATGCGGCGGCAGATCAGCTCCACCCACGCGAGGACCTGCGTGTTCAGCCGGTCGTAGGACTGCATCGCGCGAAGGTAGTCGAAGGCGAGCCTGACCTCGCGCGCGACGCTGCCCACGGGTTCACCCCTCCTTGCTCTCCCACCAGGTCGGGTACAGGTGCAGCTCGAGCCCTGCCGCCGACGCGTCCGCCATGAGCCCGCGAGCCGACGACGGACCCTCGAACGGCCAGCCGGCGAACTTCGGGTCGGTGAAGAGGTTCGCCGACTCTCGCAGCAGCATGACCCTCTTGCCGCCCGAGTCGCGGTGGACAAGCAGGATGCGAAGGTCTCGCCCCGGCCCGCTCCGCTTGCGCTCGAGCCAGCCGTCCGTGTCGCGGTTCTTCACCCGCTGCACCGAGACCCACTCGCCCGACTCCTGGTTGATCAGGTGGAGGCCCGTCTCGCCCTTCACCACAGCGCAGTCCCCGAGCATGCTGCCATCGGGGACCACCTCGTTGAAGCTCTCGTGTCCTGTCCGAGACGCGCCGCTGTCGGTCCGTTGCCGCCGCGGCCGCGCCCACCGCCGGCTGGTGCCCGAGAGCCCGCGCCAGCTGGCCTCCGCGCGGGAAGAGATCGTCCCGCTGGTCGGCCGTGAGCGGGTCGAAACCGCACACATTGCCACGCACCTGGGCTGGCCATGGCCCGGCGCGCACGAGGGGCAGCTGCACTGAAAAGTCGGATGTTGCCACCACCCAGCGTCCAGGGCCCAGCTCGTACAACAGCAGCCTGTGGTGCCATTGTATGTTGGGATCGTCGGGGTACCCCACAACGATCTGGATGATCTCAGTGTCCAGCGTCGTCGCCATCACGCAGGCGACGGAGCCTGGACGGCGTCACAGTAGGAACGCTCGGTGGAACCTCAGTGCCTGTGGACGTGGCCGTCGCTGCACGCTCACGCCCCGCCAGGGGTCACCTGCAGCCCGAGCGTGGTCGCCACTCCCAGCAGCACACCCAGCCCCGCCGCCACCAGAAAGCTGCTGGCCGTCGGCCCGCACGCTGGTGCGGGCGGGCAGTGCAAATGATCTGGCCCGCAGCGGTCCAGCTGCGCCTGCAGGATGGCCAAGAGCCCCTCGTCCAGCGGACTCGGATCGAAGTGACACGCGCAGCTGGTCGCCCACGACGCCACCCGCCCGACCATGGCGCCAAGCACTGCCAGCGTCGCGCCACTCAGTTGGTCGGCCACCCAATGCATCAGTGGGCTTGGACCAAGATGGCCCGCGGACGATCGGCCTGAGACCGCCTAGCCGCCTCCAAGCACAACTGTCGAGACACATATATTCTGTATACATGCGTACATATACACATGTACATGCGTGGGTCCCACTGCCAATCCATCGCTCCTCCTATCAAACTGTCAATATCACTATCTCTATCTGTCCATCGATATCACAAAAACGTATACATAAATATGGCATGCATACACCACTGTCAATCTATCGGTCTCACTATCCATTCATCCATAGACGGGAATACCACGGGACAACCACGGGTAACCACAAGACAGCAACGAGACAACCATGGAACAACCACGGGGCAATCACGGGATAACCACGGGACAACCACTGAACAACCGCGGGACAAACACGGGTCAACAACGGAATAACCACGGGACATCCAAATGGAGAACCGCTGGACAACCGCGGAATAACCACGGGTCAAACGCGGGACAACCGCAACACAACCACGGGACAACCACGGGACAACCACAAGACTAACACGGAACACTGGTCTAAGTACGTATCGGTTTTGCAATCAATCTACCGATCTCAAAATCAATCGATTGGTCGATACCAAGGTCTATCGGTCTCACAATGGGCCTATCGATGTCTCGTTCAATACTATCATCAATTTCGCGGTTGTGCTATCTATCGATCGATCCCGCTATCAATCAGTATATCGATCTTGCTCCCTATATATTGGCCTCACTACCCGTGTATCTACAGACGGGACACCAGTCAAACAACCACGGAATAACCACGGGACAACCACGGGACAGCCGCGGGACAACCCAGGGCACGCCCCGGTTTAAAGCATCTCTTTTGTGCTTGACCCGGGCCTAGCTAGCGCAGGGATTCGGACGACTTCGCCTCGCCCGCAGGCACGATACGAACCAACAACTGAAGCGATTTCCCAGTTGGGCGACTCTGTTTCACTTCGATTTCCCCCCAAACCTCCACTACAATGGGAGATGCCTTTCCCTACCGCCATCAAGCGTTCTAAGCGTCGTAGCGGCCATTGCGGAATTCGCGAATAATACTGGTAGCCCTGTCGACGGAGCATGTGGGAGTACCAGGAACGAGAGACGGGAAAGACCAGCAACAGAGGAGTAGAAACTCAACGTTGCAGCAGCACGTGAAGTACATCCACGAGCTCGGGCGTGCGCAGGCTGGCCCATCACGGATGGCACTCGCGAGCAAAAGCGTATACAAAGAGGAGAGAGAACCAGAGAAAGGCTGAGGGGAGCAAAAGAACAGCTGCGAAACACGGCCTGCAAACCATCTTAATGCCGAAGCAGAGGAACCAATGTCACTAGAGATCCGCGCACAACGCAACAGGGGGTACCACATCGCGTGCGTATGCTTCCCACTATGCTTCAGGAGAGGCTAGTCCGGACGGAACAAACCCAGAAGGAGACCGAACACTCTGCGTGGACCTACTCCGTATGGACCTTAGACCCCTGCTAGGAGAGGTTGAACCCAGGCTGAATTAAGCCCATACGGAGACCGAATACTCCGTATGGACCTACTCCGCATGGAATTAGCATCCTCCAAATGCTGCATGCGCCAATCGTCACTTGTACCGTGGCCGCGGGCCGCGGGACCCCAGGGGCAGAGCAGACGGGCTCCACAGGCTGCGCCTCTGTCAGCCGACCATATGGGCGGCGCCAGGAGCAGGCTGGCCCGAAGCTGGCCCTGGGGTTCGGGACAACCAGAGCCAGGCGAAAATGCAAGCGTGCGCACGCCCGCGAACAAAAGTGGGTGAGAGGAGACACCCACTCCGATAGGATAGGGAGATAGAAGGGGGAGGGAGGTAGGAGTAGGTCGGGCATCTCCCCCTCCAGGCGGATTAAAACAACAAATAGTCAAAACATACTCGACAACGAACAACAATTGTTGAAACATCGTCCCAATACTACTTTTGGGCTATTTTTGGATATTCCTGCTGTAGAGGGACACGCCCGACTTAAGGTACGGAAGCGAATCCGCACGGCGGCTTTCCCCCGCGCCGCCTGGGAGGTGCTGATCACAGTGATGCTGTTGGACGCGGTCTAGACGAACAAGCCTCCGCCGCAGCCTACACTCGTACAACTCCCGAACATGTGCGCCATACTTGAGCTGCACAGGATGCCCGCATCTGCCGAGCTCAGTGTGATTGAAGAGCATCACCTGGAAATGCTAATCAAACGTGGCACGAATCTACTATGCCACAAATAACGCGAGTCGAACGTTAATGCAATGCGGCTGACGTGTGTTCCGAACGAGAATCGGGTGGGGGGAAGTTGGGCATGGGGACCATGATTGAATCACGGGCGAACCACACGCAGGTCGAGGGTGAATCAACAGCGATCTCAGTGCGAACCATGCGTGAAGCGTGGGCGCACCTGCTTCGAGTGCCTAGCTGCTTCGAATGCCTCCTCGCCT